ATATACTCCAATCAAAGTAATTGAGTATGCTATAAAAGAAAAGTAGCATACAACTGGGACATATCTATCATATATACAGTTAGGATGGTCCAGTGCCTTAAGCATTCCTTTAGTGCCCAATGGATTTAAATGTTTAACATGTGTGTGTTATGTTCTGTAAATAGAAGCTATGGGATACGTGTGGATTGGGACTCTACCATGCTGGCTAAGAAGCTATCATACTTTTCTAACGTGTGGGAATCCCAGTGAAAATTATCTTCCCTAAGCTGCTATTTGCTCTAGGAAAAATGCTTCCATTGGCATCAGCTGACACTTCTTCTTTGTGCCAAGCAGCAGTGAACAATAATTTTTCATAGAACCAGAGCCAGAGTTAGGAAACTGCTGACCTTGAGCTATTGGATGCATGAATATCAGCACTGATTATTCTTGGCAGAGCACAGCATATCTGCATCTCAATTTTTTCAGATGGCAAGTTACAGAATTTTATAACTCAGTCTCATATGTTCTTTTGGGTATATACAGTATTTATGTGTGAATTGTGCCTTCAACATTTCACTTCTAATGACATGTGCCAATATATAATTCATATTTAAATACTACACATTCATATTCTTTTTAAAAATTATCCTGTAAGTAATAAAATCCATATTCTCTGGACCATTAGAATTCTGGGAACATATGGTGATGATCATGCACTGCATTATATATGCTATGTAAGGTATGTAATTTATATAATATTAATTTTGTTCAAATTTCATTTTTGATCTATAGCAGAACTCCTGACTTGTTTTCATTTTCAAAACAAATACACAGAATCACCTTTTTGCACACAAAGTCACCAGGTAGATACACAGTGGATTTCAATCTCAGAAGCAGGTCATATATCATTTGGGATTCACATCCCTGTTTAAAAAGGAAAAAAAAAAAAAATCCCCGTCAGAAATATATTTTAAGTGAAATCTCATCAGCAATACTAAACAGTAATATTAAAAAGTAGAAATATAACAAACCCACTTGTCTAGCTGTTACATGTAGACCACAGTTGTGCACTGTATCATTTGCAGTCGCAATTATAAATTGTGGAACATAATTTAGCACCAGTGGCATCTTCTTGAATTAATTAATTAATTAATTAATTCTTCAATTAATAGCTTGAAGATTATGGCCCCAACATTTATTAATAATAAAACAAAATCCAGATTTCAGATCCCATAATTTGAGCCATGAGAGCCACTTAAGTGTACTGTAGTGGTTAAGGCATCAAACTAAGAAACCAAGAGACTATGCATTCACACCGTCTCAGCCCCAGGAAGGAGGCAATGGGCAACCACTCCTGAAATTTTGCCAAGAAAACTGCAGGGACTTGTCCAGGCAGTCCCTAGGAGTCAACACTGACTCAAAGGTGCATAATAATAATATAATTTTTTAAAAAATTGAGCCATAGGTTCAAACTTGTTCCAAATGTTTCATCATTTTCTACAAGAAAACAATTTGGAAAGGAACTTGCTTTCCATGCTAGCCCCAGAAGCATACAAGGCTTAAGCAAGTTATATTTCTGCCAGACCCTGCCAAGGCCCTGTCACTAAGAAGTAACTAAGGAAATGGGTAACGAATTTGACCCTGTTTTTTTCTATGGGAAACTATTGACTAATGAATTACATGAACTGTAGTCCCTGGGTTAAGAATGCCTGTGTTATAGATGACCCATAGTTAAGAACAGAGCCTATTGTAGCAAAATTTGAGTTAAAATACACAATGGTTTGAATTAAATACATAATGGTTTGAGTTAAGTATACAATTATTTGAGTTCATTACACAATACTACTTATACAGATACAATAATACTGTTCCAGCTTACATACAAATTTGATTTTGAGAATGGAATTCATTCTTAAACTGGGGACTACCTGTACTTTAGTTAAAAGTGGGGACACACTTAACTGAATTAATTTCCATACAAACAATTTATATACTCAGATGCTAAAAAGGATTCCAGCCAAATATCCTTTCTGACATACTAGTGTATGTATGTATGCATGTATGTATGTATTTAACATCTTTCCTTTCCTCTAGGAAATGACAAGAGCATACACGGGGTGGATCTTCTTATTTTATCCTTACAGAAATAGCGATTAGTCTAAAGTTACTCAGTGAATGCCAAGATCAAGTAGGGACTTGAACCTGGATGTTCCCAAGCCCAGTGTCCTACATGGCCTCTCATTTTCTATGTGTAGGAAAATTTAATTAGTTTTTTTTTTTAATGAATGTGTGTGTGGCAACTTTTTTGTGAGAACCACAAGCAGCTAAAGTAAAAACACTGAAAAAGTTTTACTCTCACAGTTGTTCCTTGTGAGAACCAAAGCTAAATGATGGGGAACAGCTAGGACACAGAGAAGCACTGTTCCCCAGTAACTCCAGCTCTTTGCCACTATTGGATCAAGCTCAGCCACTTCTCCCATGTATCTTCCAGCTTTCCTATCTTAATCTCAATCAACATAAAGAAACAGATGTAGCTATTTAACTGTTGGGAGCAAAGGCTGGAATGGTAAGAGTTCAGGAAATAACTGCTGGTTATGTGGGATGGGGTAGGCCGGTCCTTACTTTACTGAGTCTGCTGGATGGATCAGCTCTTTCATGACTCCAGTACCATAAGGGTCATGACTCCATGTGGTGGACCAACATAATAGCTGCAATATCTCACTCTGATGTGCTAATGTATGTGTAGAACCTCTGTAGATTGTTCTCATTAAGCCACTGGTAAGAACTTGATGGTGCTCATCAAGCCCATAATAATTACTGTAACTTGATTATATCTGTTGTCCTACAAATTGAACATGCTTCCTACAATTGCTTGCTTTGCAAAAAAAACAAATCTTGCCAATGTTAGCTGTTATATTACACAAAGTTCTACTGACTTTGAACAAGTCAAGTTTGCTGACAATAGCAAAGTTGACATCAGTTGCAATGTCTAAGTGCATTTTTCCAGGCATCTGCTCCAGTAATTCTGATTCATCTGCAAGAAAGAATGATAGAATTTGGTTTATACTGTTGGTTTACACTGAAAGATGATTACCTCCCCCCCACAATAATTTGAAATACTTCAATTAAAAAAAAAGTTTACAAAATGTGATCAAACATTGGTAATTCATCATATCACCTAAACTGGGTTGTTTAAATGATATTGTTCAGTGAATGTTTATACCAACTTTCTGTCCCTTTTCAACTAAACTAAATAAAATTGATGTTCCCAAAGCAGGGGACTGGGGAAAATGAAACATTCTAAATTTTACCTAGCATTCCTTGTGAATCCCACGTATACTCATACCAAGTTCGAACACGCTTCTGAACAATCCTTGGAATTGTGTAAGTATTCATGTAAGAAACTGTGTTGTCCATACAGGCACGATAATAGTTTTGCCCTGCTGATGCTGCTCCAATAACATCACGCATCTGCAAATATCAACCATTATCATTACATTATATTATAAGAGGTTGCTGTTACTTAAATTTTCAAGTGCAGATACAAATTGCTGTTTATGTGGTTTACACTGACGTTTCCAAATTATTAATAAATGGCGTTTTATCTCTGAGCATATTTTTACCTGCTTATTAATTCAGTAGTAGAAAAGTAGGTTATTTAGTAAATGGAACATCGAGATCTGTCATAGAGCAGATTATTTTCCAGCTTAACTCAGGATTTTCTATTCTGGCAGTACTTTTTTACACCACTTTCCCCTTTTCCTTTTGGATTTAATTTGAAATCTGCATGCAAAGCATGTGCATTGCAAGTAAGAGCTCTTTCTCATAACCAAATTAAAGTGCTGCTCACCACTCTTTGAGCTAGCAGAAAACGATACTGGCCTAAAATTTGTTGTCCCTGCGGGCAATCCTTATCCTGCCACAGGCACAGTATCAGCAAATTGTGCTGTTCTTATTTATTGTGCACAGGACATAGTCCAAGAAAGGAAAAGTCTCAGGAAGGAATTTAACAAAGCATTTCAGAGACCTATTAGAAGAGACAAGAAGCAGGATTACACCAACTTCTGTAAAGACATTGAAGATGGAAACGGACCTGGAAAAACAAGGATTTTTGAACTGACAAGGAGGTTCAAATCTCAAATTGGCATGCTAAAGGATTCCATGGACAAACAGTAAGTGATTCAAAGAAGATCAGACAAGAATGGAAGGAATGTACTATAGTACAAAAGGCAACATCCAAAATAACTTAGAGGATATTCCATATATACAAGAACCCCTAATCCTAGAAGATGAAGTTCAGTCAGCACTGTGGTCATTACCAAGTTGGAAGGCTACAGGAATTGATGGAATATCTATAGAAATATGGCAAGCAGCAGAAGAAGAATCTGTAAAGGTTCTATCAAAACTATGCTAGCAAATGTGGAGAATGACACAGTGGCCAACAGGTCAGAAAAGGTTGGTTTACATACCGATATCAATTAAAGGAGACTTAACAGAGTATGCAAACTATTACAGAATATCCTTAATTTCATAAGCTAGCAAAATGATGTTTCGGATCATCCAGTGCAGATTAGAGCATTACATGAAAAGGAATATGTCAGATGTTCAAGCTGATTTCACAAAAGGATGAAGAACAAGATACATTATTGCTGATGCATATTAGATAGTTGAGAAAGTGAAGAACAGTAAAACCAAGCCAGTATGTGTTTCGATGGCTATAGAAAAGCCTTTGATTTTGTTGACCAGGTCAGGCTATTGAATATCAGGAAAATGGGAATCCTAGAACATCACACTGTCCTCATGAGAAACCTATACAAAGGACAGGAAGTACAGTCTGTATAGAACGCAGTGAATCAGACTGGCTCTATGCTGGCAAAGGGATGAGATGAGGCTGTATATTTTCTCCTTAATTATTCAACCTATACACTGAATATATATTGAATGAGTGAAAGAAAATGAACATAGTTTTAAAATTGGAGGACAAAATGTTAATAACCGGCGCTATGTTGAAATTAATATGTTGAATATAGCTGAAAATGCAACTGATCTAGAAGCTCAAGTAAGTCAAGGAGCACAGTGAAAAAATAGGATTAAGATTAACTATAAAGAAGATCAAATTAATGATAACAGGTATAGCAATCAGCCTTAGAATTCACGAAGAAGATACTGAAGTGGTGAATAGCTTCTGCCTTTTAGGATCAACTATTAACAATAAAGAAAGCAGCAATCCAGAAATACGCTGTAGTCTAGCACTTGGTGGGGTACTAATGGAAACCTTGGAAATTATATTCAGATCCCACGACTGGAATCTTGCAGAGAATAGTTTTCCCTGTGATACCTTATGGAAGCCAAAGTTGGATTTTGGAGAATCTGGACAGAAATTGATAGAAAGAGTATTGCTACTTTTGAATGTTGTTGTTGGAAAAGACTCCTGAGAATACCATGGATAGCCAAGAAAATAAATAAATGGATAATAGAACAAGTCAATCCACAGTTCTTACTTAAGGCACAAATGACTAGGCTAAAATTATCATACTTTGGACATATTATGTGAAGACCTTGCCTCCTTGAGAAGACCATCATGTTGGGAAAGGTGGAAGGAAAGAGAAGAGGGACCAGCAGTGAGGTGGATGGAACTGATAACAGTGGTGATGGATGCACCTTCGGAAGACTCGAAGAGCCAGGATGGGAACAGATCATCCTAGAAAAGGTCTATGTAGCTAAAAGTCAGCAATGACTAATGGCACATAGTCAATCATCATCAAGGACAAGGAATAGTGAATTCCCTTTAGATTAATTTTCCACCCATTTCACTAATTATCTCCAGCTAGCCTCTCCCTGATTATGTCTACCCATCCCATTAGATCTAGCAGAAGAGACATATTTTGGGTTTCATATACTAAGGTGGTGGAGCCCAGGAGGAAAGCCTTTTCTGTCATGGCACCCATCCTTTGGAACATCATCCCCCCAAAGATCAGATTGCTCCCAACCCTGTTGGCCTTTTCTAAGGCCTTAAAGACCTGGTTATATCACTAGGCCTGGGGATCAGGAGGTCAGGTTGAGCCCATGCATTGGCTTATGTTAACTGTAACTGATGACTTTGTTTTTACCCAGCTGCTGTTTTATGTATGCTGTATGTTTTTCCCCATTTTTTATGCTTTCATATTTTTAAAAAATGTTAGCCACCCAGAGTCATTACCGTGAGATGGACAGCCATATAAATTGAAAGAAACAAACAAACACCTATTCTCCTTATCATGGAACAGGGCTGGGTTAGGATTAGGGTTGTGAGGAGATGAGTTTTGATGTCCAGATTTGTGGGCTTAACCTTCTCTCTAAACAAGTGATTTTCATATGCATGTTTAAAGGAAGCCTAGCTATCAGCTGATAAAAGTGCTATTTTTGGCAGAACACCGTTCCAGAATGGCACTGTTCTGAAATAGCACTAAGCCTGTGTTCAAAGACAACCAAACAACAGTTTACAGACACGAGGAGAGTTGGGCTGTGAAGCAGCAGAAAAAGAGAGAGCTTTCTTCCCCTTGATTTACTGTGAAGCCCCTCCCCACTACTACAACTCTTCAGATTGTGGAGATTAATTTCGAAGCTTAGTGGATTAGGGTTATGCTTTGAAAGAACTGGACCCTTCCATTACCTGAAGGAGGGAAGGGATTATGCCTGTATTTCTCTAAAGGAGACAATTAATGCTGGAGCGATCCCACCCCATCAGTGCAGTGCATCAGATTGCATGGACAGTAAAACTGCTACAGCTTGTTGCCTGCTTAAAGACAGAAAATCTATTCTAACACCAGGACAATGAAAGGCAACTTTGAAGTACGTGTTGGGGATAAGTTGAAGTCAATGTCATGAGGACATGGCAGAAAAAAGAGATTGCTAGGACATATTGATGCTGTGGTTAGATGCTGGTGGGGAAAGGCCCTAAATATGGATCCGTCTTCAAAGTGAAAAGAACAGGAAATAAGAAGGACAAAAGTGACAGCCTTATAGCTCAATGTACAACATATTTGTTTGTAAGAAAATTTTATTCATTTTTTATTCATTTCATGACGGCATTTTCTTCCAGGTAGCACATCTGGCATTTATAATTACTGTATGTTCTAAAAATTTTGTATTTTAAAAATGAATATCAGCATTTAGCTACAAATGTTATTCATGCTTCTACAATTCATGAAAATTATTACAGCAGTGGATCTATATTGGTGAGTATCTAATTATTTTTGTACCATTTCTATTAACAAACATAGTCTTATGGTAAATACTGAGATTTACAAATAATTATAGGTTTTATTAGAGAAAACATCATAAATGCAAAGGTCAAATTAACAAATAATATTTTTGTGTACCTGGCCAATCAGACTGGAGAATACAAAGACCCCTGAGAAAAAATTCAGAAGCTGAAAGATTATTTCAAACATATTGACTGGTTCTGGTAGTCCACCGATAGTAATTAAAGTGCGAACAGCCCAATAGTAACTTCTTAGATACCTATAGATACAAAACAATTACTGACATCATTAATATTTCTACAGATGGTTGCACTGATTATTGATGTTCAGAATAAGGAATAATGCCTTTTCTCTAAAACAGTTAATCATAGGAATAAAAATAATTAGCTAAGGAAGTACAGAAATTTTCATCACTATTTTATCCAGATAAAGAATAAATAAGAAATTGTGTGCCCTGTTAAGTGTAGGTGTCTAGTGGTACAAATCAGGCGCTAAGCACACAACTGATTGTACAGATGTGTCCTGCTCAATTACATGGATCTAGGAGTTTTTGTAGACTGGAATCTAAATTGACCAAGAGAGGAAAGGATTAAGAGGTTATGACTGGGTTCATTCATCAAGCTAAACCATGCTTCCAAATTGGCTTCTAAGCAACGCTTCCAGATTTGCTTCCAAAATTTGCAGAGACTTATAAATCAATGTGCATTCTTCTGGATAAGCTATTAGGAGATGACCCAATTCACACAGTGACTGAGCTCACAGATTGTACAAAACCAAGCTTTTTTTAATCACAGCTTGTTAAATCAATACTGCAACATGCTAAACCATAACCTTTAAGTTTACAAATCACATTATGTTCACATACTTGAGAATCAAAGAAACTATGTTATTGGTTTGTGTGCTGTGTGAATATAGCCAACATGATTGCCGTCTTCAACTATCTGGAGAACAGCCATATAAACAATGGAGCAATGTATGTATAACAGAGGATATATAGCACTCTTCTTACAGTGTTAGTTAGCTGAATTTAACTTTTCTATTCCTCAAAAGCAGATTGGAAGAACTAGACAAAGTAAGAAATGATAGAAAAAAACACTGTTCATGTAGCAGGAAATACAATGGTCCTGTCTGTGTGACAAACTAGCCAACAGGGCAGGTCCCAGGACAGAGAAGACACAAGTCCTAGTTCCCACAAGATGAAATTTCCTAATAGAAGGGACCTGGAGCATGCTGTCCCTGCTAGACCTGGTACCTGAGCCCTATGCTGTGTGGGGCTTTGTATGTGACAACCAGCACCTTGAATTGCACCTGGAAGCCCACTGGGAGCCAGTGCAGCTCAAGGAACAGAGGTACCATGTGGGCATATAGCGAAGTGCCCAAAACTGCCCACCCTGCTGCATTATGCCAACAAAGCCAAGAGACAGGCTACATCACACACTCGGGGCCCCAGGCCTGGGCACAAGGCTGAATTTTGAGGGCCTTATGAAAGGCCAACAAGATTGGTGGAATGATGTTCACAGGATGGGTAACACGGCAGAGAAGGCTCCATCTGGGCCCCACTAGCTGACACTCCTTAGCCAACAGGACCCAGAGCATGTCCCTCCTGCCAGACCAGGTTGTGCAAAGGCCTTCTAGGCATGACTACTACCTGCTGAATTAGCAGTAGCTGTGAATCCAGAAGGGCCCCTGAATTGCACACTAGCTGTGTCTGGGGAAGTGCTACCCAATTCAGAGATAAAGATGGCAAGTCTCTGGATCTGGGGCGTGGGGGCTCAAAACCCATAGCCACTGACAGAAATTGTACAGTTTCTCTGGGTCCAGCAACTGCTTCTTGAGGAGGAGTAGATAACAGTCTCTTTTGGAATAGATGGCACCACTGTCTTCTGCAAATAAGCATTAACTACAGCAAGGACCCAGCTATACGTCATCTCCTGGGAGGTCTTGATCTGCCAGAAAGTCATGGATCTAAAACATGGGTAGTTGAAGTCACAGCACTGAGGACCCTTTCACTTCATCAGGACTAACAGGTTCAAACTCTTCTTAGATAACTGGGCAAGACTATGCCTGAGACACCTCCATAAAACCCGTACAGCTAGAATCTAACTCTGAACAAATCTAAGTAACTTTACCCAACAGCTGCCTAGAATAATCCTCAGACTGGCCCTGCAAGTATTCTCCAACCTTTCCTTATCCAGAAGGGATTGGGTCACTTTAAACAGGGCCACTGGCCGACTCTTCACAGACACAATACATGCAAAAAATATGTCTTTTTCTTAAGTTTTTACCATAAACTCATTTTCAGTAAACCATCCTGAAGTCGCATTTGACATTCCTCCTCAACATTTTTCTTGATGGTTCTGCTTTAAGTTCACTCCTATTCTATTTATTCTCTTTTCTAGTTAATACCAACTTTATTTTCACCAGATGTTGTTGCATTAATACTTTTTCATATTTGTTGCATTTTATGTGATTTTAATTCTCCTGATTTAATCTGTTTCTGTGTGGTTTTAATTCACTAGTTGCATGTTTTGTACCTGCTTAGTTCTTCTGTAATAACTACTGCTACTCGGAACCTTTTCTGTGGTCTTTTGGGATATCAGATTTTAGTAAGCACAGCTCAGGGTCACAAACTCTCCATATGTGCACTTCATGTGCTTAATCATGTATGCCCATGAATGCACGTAAATGACTATACATGATAAAAGTGTGATTTTCCATTTTTTCCATTTTCCATTAAAATGACACATGGGCCTCTCACAATCAAAGCTTCAGATTTCTTCTGTTAAAGTACACCAGGACACATCAGATGAGACTGTTTAACTTATGTTAAATTCCAAAGAAAATATTCTCTGTTTTTCAAAAGTTTATTCTAGAGATAGTCATAAAATGTCAGCTGCTTGATCTATCTCAAAGTGGTCACCATATTGAACCCCTTTAACCTAGATGCGGTAGGCAACACCTAACTCAAGTTGTAGATTTCAAGGAAGAGGCTATTGCTCACACTTCCTTAATGTGATGAATCTGAAAACTTGGTTACGTGCAGCATGCAAAGGAGTTTAATATGTGTAAAAATGAGTAAAGCACAATCAGACTTGCAAGATTTTGTTGCAATAGTCCATCTTAATAAAAGTAGTTTTAGACTTCCCCAAGTTGTTTTATGGTCTGATCTACATTGTGGAGCTGACAACAATCTTGCAGATCTGATTGTGCTTTACTTCTCCCATTCCATCCTGTCCCCCCCCCCCCCCCCCCGCTTATATTCCTGTGAAACTAAGGAAGTGCCAGTCTGATCTGTTTCCTCCTTCCCACCAATTGTTTTGGGCTTGAGTTATGCTTCTTGCCTCAGATGGATCTGGTTTATCTCCATCAAGGTCATCTTTACTCTCTACAAAATGGCACCCTATATGCTTGTATTACTTGAGTGTTCCCACATGGTGTTGTACAAGCATGGTTTCTAAACCTTTGGTTTCTTCAGTTGAGGGTTCTGCATTATGCATGCTTTTACTGAATTTTCAAAATAGTTTGATCTGCTGAAAACTTTTAGACAGTAGGGCTCAGGACTTGAGATTTTTATCTCTCTTTGGACATGACCACTGTAACTATTCACTTTCTTAGCAATGTATGCTACAGAGCATCTTACCCCCCACCTCGTTCCACCCACCCGCTTGTTTCAGGTTTTCATTTTGTGAATTTATATATAACATGGCACCTCTTCTCTAGTTGCTTCAAGCAGCCAATTACAGTGAATACTGTTAGCTTCCACAGGAGATTCTCTTTCTTTAGAACATGTTTGCCTATGACCTTCACCATAACTAAAAAAATGGTGGAATTTGATACTGTGAAGCCTCTTAAAATGAATGCTATTTTCTGTTACGATCTGAATGATGCATTATTTATTGCAATTGGACTTCTCTGACCCTTCCAAGTAGTGGTTTTCTTATCATTCAGGGTTTCTTTACATAATGAGTAAGCTTAATTTATGAACCCAGGTGATTTCTAAATGGTTAAGGAAAAAGATGAAATCATTAAGGAAATGATTAGCACTGACTGATAAAATGAGCTAACATTCACTACACCTGCCTTTCACATAAGAAACACATTTTACTGCTATTAAAACTGGAGCAAAATGTTATCAGTGAAAGAACTTATGAATGCTTAGCATTTAATCAAGATTATGGGGGCAAGATAACACAAAGCCACTTGCATGTTTCCTTTGCCATCATACACCCATTTGGTACTACCAAGTCCTTCATAGGTTGAAGCCCAGTAATATAAGCATGCATTAATATGTAAGACAAACAACAGATATCCAATAGTCCGGATGACCCTGTGGAAGAAAAAAAAAAAGAGCAAAAGTTTATGTAAGTCCTGAGATAATGCATTTTTCTGTGCTTGGTTTCCCTTAGGAAACCTTGATTTTGATCAATAGCAATGTTGACACCCACTGCTTCTAATATTAACAGGATGAAAAAACAACAACCTGTAAGTCTTTTGAAACTCAATCCCTGTTTAACTGGTATAGGGACACTAGTGAATTATGTTTCCTGTAGGATAACAGAGCCTACTCATTCAACTTACATGGAATATATAGAAATATGCATTTGTTTCTGTGAAATAATGTTTGGTTGAAACTGGTAAAGTTAGAATCAGAAATTCCCAGACTAATTGAAATGAAAACATATTCTATCTACCTCCCAAGGCCATGGTCAAGGCCCATGTGCCTGTCAAATTCAAGAATCAAGAAGCGCATGGATTTCAGAAAGGCGTCTTTAATGCTAGTCAGGGAAAAACATAATCTTGAAGAATAAAAGAGTAAATTCCCAGGCAGATTTATAGTAAGTCAATTAAGACAGAGTCTCTTTAAAACACTTTCTTCCCATACCCCTAAATCTAGGCTGTGCTGCTTCTTTGCAGACCAAACTACCTTGCCTGTTTCTTACAGTCTCTGGAGTAGTCTCACGGCCATCAAAATGCCAACCAAATGTCTTTTGGCTCAGAAAGGTGGGGAAAAAAAATGCAAGAATTTATCTCCTAGAGTGTGTGTGTGTGGGTATGTATGTACATATATGTATGTGTATATGTGTATGTGTGCATGTCTGAATTTCTTATGGACAATAAATTGTTTTGCTGTTTGCAGTCAAGTTTCTAATTTAGCCAAGTGTTGTCTGAGAGTCTTATGCTAAGACTAGCCAAGCCCACGTACAAAGCCTGACAGATTTTGCTCAGTATTGCAGATTCCATTGCATCATGCCAAGACTTAATTCTATTAACGTGAATATTATTTATTTAAATTTTGAAATCTAGATTTTCCATAAGACACTAAACATTTTAGAAATAGTCCATTTGACTGCTTGAATTTGTCCACTATGGATTGCAACTAAAGCTGCAGAAAATTGCATCATCATAATCACCATCCCAAAATACTGAAATATTTGTCAAGACTATACAACGTGATACTGTAACATTTGTAACACATACCTGTAGATGTATGCTTTATCCATTATTGCCTCTAACCGATCATTGAATTCAAAGAATGTGAGATGCTGAATATAAATCAAGAAAGAGTAAAACCAACTCTATAATGCATTTTTGTCATAAATTGCCTATTTATCCCTTTTTCTACAGGGCGAGTTATGATTTTTGCCCCCCAGATATCAGATCAGTGTTTTTGACAGTGTTATTTTATTCAGTTAACCAAACTTTCTTGACTAAGTTTTGCTGATTATGTTTATTAATTACTTGATTTCTATATTATTGGCTTTTTGAAAGAGAGGCAACCGTCTGGATAATTGCTTTCTAAATTTTACAAATTAAAGGGCATCTTTAGTCCATTAGTTTGAAATTAAATTAGATAAATGGATTAGCAGTTAGGACACCCCTCCCCCTGAAAAAATACAATGTGTTAAAAATCATGCATAAGTACTTAAGTTGTAGCATTTGCATAATGAAATCATCACCCATGCGTATATCATTTCCCCCCTGCCCCCTCCTGAGGATGCCCATACCTATCCTTCCGGTTGCTTTTTAAGGATTTTTTTTTTTTAAAGGAAAGTTGATATATTGCAGATCAAACCATCAGCCACAGGTATCATCCTGTTTACAGGAGTGCTTTTGGGACCCATAGGCATTCTAAGAAAATAAAAATGGTGAGTGGTAATACCCACATGCCTCTTCCCCCACTCCTCAAAACACACCAACAGACAAACAGCCAAAACCAAAGATAAACAGAGGTGTAGAAAGGATCGTCGGAAAGAAACTTCTCAGCAGCAATTTTGTAAATAGGCAGTTCCTACAGAGAAGCCATTTTGTGATGACAGAGACAAAATGTGGTCAACATTCCAAATGTGCCCATTGGCCTAGAAAAGTGTTTCTCAATCTTGTCAACTTTAAGATGTGTGGATTTCAACTCCCAGAATTCCCCAGCCAGCATGAAGTCCACACATTCTTAAAGTTGACAAGGTTGAGAAACACTGGCCTAAAAAGAATGTCTTGGTATAAGTGTAAATCTCATAGAACACAGTGAGACCTATTTTCAGATAAACATGGATACAATTACATTAATACTGTTAGTAAATTTACATTAATGTTAGTTCATAAAATAAATGTCTCCTAATCTAGTGTCCAACATTAATGTATAAGCTTTTTTAAAGAGCTACTTATCTAGAACTGAAAGAAGTGAATGAACTTCATTTTCAAAGAAAAACATTTGAAATGTATAGTCAGAAGGTGTTTGGCACCATGATGGATTGTTTCTTTAGAAACCATCTCATCCCCACTGTGACTGATGAGCCATAAGGAGTAAGACTTTTATCCCAGGTTTAAAAGCAATAACAGATCATCTCTTCTTACCTTTATCATCCTGTTTACTCTAAATACTGCATTGAATCCAAATACAATGTAGAAAACGTCAAATGGAATTACTGATAATAAATCAAGCTGGTGAAGAAAATAATTCAGTTAGTCTTGCTTAAATTAGTATTAATTTGATACTTGTATTAAAAGTTGCTTAAATTTAATTTGGCTTATTGAGCTCTAAATATTTGTCAGAAACGTGTCTAACTGAGATTTCTTTTTTCAGCTAATAATTATTTCATTATTTTTAAACTGTTGGTTTAAGCATTTTATTTATTGATATTTTTTTTTGTTTTAGTTTGTTTATTTATAATTCAGATTTCTAGGTCACTGATCCCTGACTCTGGGCAGCATACAAAATTAAAAATAATGCAGTGCAATTCCGTAGAACAACTCCTGCCAAAAAGCAAACAGTGGGAATACTCATATACTATAGATGTATAAAATCAATCCTAGGCACTATGACAGAGAAGGCATGCCTCCTGGGTCCTATAAAGTGGTATTGCTTAACAGATGGGACCCAGATGTTGCCAACCCTACCAGATCTTACAGGACTGGCAGAACTAATGGGAAAAATACAGCCCCTCAAATAACTAGGCCCTATGCCATGTAGGCTTACTAGGTAATAACCACCACCTTGAATTTTACTCAGAAGCAGAGGTGTTACATAGGCATAAAGAGGGACACCTATAACTGCATTCCGGAGCAGCTGTAGCTTCTGAGAGTTCTTCAAGAAAAACTCCATGTAAAGCAATAGTCCACACATAGGATAACTAGAACATGAGTGACTGTGAGAAGGACCTCTTGGTCCAGGAAAAATCACAGTTAGCACACAAGACAAATCTATTCCAAAGCCCTCGTAGCCACAGCTGTCACCTGTTCTTCAAGCAGGTGCTGAAAATACAGGAAGACACCCATTTGTGCACCAGTTCCATCTGGGGAAGTACAACTTCATTCATAACTACAGAGGGAAAATCTCCAGAGTGGACGGTCCATGAATTCACAGTCACTCAGTCTTGTTAGGGTTGAATCTAAGCAACCAGTTTCCAGGTATTGCAACAATATTTTGATAGCATCACTTGGTCAGTCAAAGGTTGAGATATGCAACTGAATAGTATCTCTGTACTTATGATATCTGAGCCCGTAACAATGGATGCCCTCTCCCAGCAGCTTAATTTAGATTATAAAAGAGGGGTGAGGTGTTGAGCTCTGCAGCACCCAACAAACCAGGGATTTTGGGCTTGACCCCTCCCAACACTGACTGGAACTGGACACAGAGAAAGGAGGAGAATGACTGCAACATCATAGTTCACCCTCCCACTCTCTATTATTGGTCCAAAAGGATACTATGTTTGATCAGGAAATGATCAGGAAGAACCAGGAGAGTTGCATCACTTTCCACACTTCATTCTCAAGTATAGCCTTTAATGGTGAATGAAATAAAACAGCAAGGAGGCTGAGTTCAGGACTGTCCAAACACAACATAGCTCCCTTTGCCCATAAGAAAAATTGTGAAATAATTCAGTAAAATTGTCTTTAAAATTCTAATTGAAGTCAGGATCTATGTCACCATGGCGAAGAAAAGGCCTAGGGAAAATCTGTCATTTATGCAATGGGATGGGTTGAAAATGTGCATTTGATCAGTTGTAAAAATTCGGATAATTAAAACTTGTGAGAAACTTTTATTATCTGATTGCCATATTGAAAATACGTATATAATAATAAAACAACCACAATCTCCCAAGTGGATCTGTAATTAGAATGACTGATACCTTATCAGGGACACACAATTTAACACTTGTCTCACTTACCCGAAATTTTAATGAACTCTGGTAGAACTTCTTTATTTCTACTTTATCTGACTAAAAGTAGAAAGAGAGAAAGAAGACAATCTCCCAAGTGGATCTGTAATTAGAATGACTGATACCTTATCAGGGACACACAATTTAACACTTGTCTCACTT